CCTGTCAGGAAATTCCTCCTTATTTCCAGGTTGAATCTCTCCTTGTCTCCAGTTTCCATCCATTCTTCCTTCTCTGGCCTTCAGGTGCCTTGGAAAATAGCTTGACCCACTCTTCTCTGTGGCAGCCCCTCAAATGTTGGAAGATGCTCTGATGTCTGCCTTGGTCCTTCTCTTCCCTAGACCAGCCATGCCCAGTTCCTGCAACCGTTCATCATATTTTATTTCGGAAAAAGAAAAGCAACAGGCATTCTTTGAGAGAGAGAGAGAGGGAGGGAGAGAGAGAGAGAGAAGGCACTCATAAATTATATGCCCTTTTTAGGTGGGGGAAATTGACAGAGAAAAGAGTTCTAGTTTGCCAGCAGGAAAACTGCCCAGCTTAAAAAGAGCGTGAAGCAGAAACAAGCATACCCTTAAATGTTTTGATTGTGGCTCTGCCCGAATTCACAAAAAAAAACTGCTTAACATCCATCCAGCAGCATCCTTCTGTTGGAGTTCCCTTAGTTACTTCTTTTTCCTCCTTTGACGCTCCACCACTCTTTGAACCAGGACAGAAGTGAGGGGGGGAGCATCGAAGATGGGGCTTTTGACCAAGATCTCCCTGTGCTTTTAACCTGGTTTGAGGCTCAGCCAGCCAAAGGAGCTAAAACCTTGCAGGGTTTCAATCCTGGGTCATTTCGAGCTGTTATTGCAAAGCTTGGTTCCTTGATGGTTCAGGCTGTACTGTGAAACCAGGAAGTGGGGTAATTCAGGAACCGAGTGAAGGTACTTGAGCTCTGCTGTGCAATCATTTATTTCCTAAGCGATGGCCTCTGCACAGTTTAGGAGTCTGGGGTTTTCCACTACGTTTTATGCCTTCTTTTCTTCTCCCCTCTCCTTTCTGTTCTCTCTCTTCTCTACACTTTTCTCTCTTCTTTTCTTTCTCCTCTTCCTTCCATTTCCTCCCACGATCTTTCCTTTCCTTCTCCCTTCTCTTCCCTTCCTCCTCTTTTTCTCTTCCCTTTCTGTCTTTTCCCTTCCTCCTGTCCTTTTCCCTTCCTTTCCTCTTATCCTTTTCCCTTCCCTTTCTCCTGTCTTTTTCCCTCCCCTTCCTCCTGTCTTTTCCCCTCCCCTTCCTCCTGTCTGTTGCTCTTCCCTTCCTGTCTTTTTCCCTTCCTTTCCTCCTGTCTTTTTTCCTTCCCTTCCTCCTATCCTTTTCCCTTCCCTTCCTCCTGTCTTTTCCCCTTCCTTTCCTCCTGTCTTTTTTCCTTCCCTTCCTCTTGTCTTTTCCCCTTCCTTTCCTCCTGTCCTTTGCTCTTCCCTTCCTGTCTTTTTCCCTTTCCTTCCTCTTATCCTTTTCCCTTCCTTTCCTCCTGTCCTTTTCCCTTCNCCATTAGTTTGCTTAATCGGTTCGTAACTCTCAGACTCCTGGCCAAGTTTTGCAGATCTCAGCCTGGCAGCTCTCCAAGCCAGAGAAGGTCTGTGACTGTAAATCCTCCCTTGAAAGACTTTGCTGGATGTGAAGGAGCAGAATTCACCGTCAATTAATAAAAGGGTTTTGTGTTGGGACCAGGAATTTACTTCAGGCTCTTGGGAAGCCTCGGTCGGAACAGACTCTTTGCAACATTTAGAAGTCCCTGGTCTCTTTTAGTGTTGATTTATGGCCATCCACTTTATGGGCCTCGACGTACAACTACAACAGAGCCCAACCTTGCTGTGGCTAAGCGACACAGGTTGTTCCCCCCCCCCCATTTTGCCACCTTCTTTGCCACTTAACCGTGTTACGTTAGTTTAGTCTGTTCTGGGACACACTTGCCAGCAGCCCTGGTGTCACTGGGCCTGCCACTCTTTTTGCCGCTGTCACTAAGAGTAGCCAGGTTTGTGGGAACGGCCTCCACAAGGCCATTCAACATGGATGGCAGGTACATGCTGGGCATATCGTCCCCCAGGACGTCTGCGAATGTGTTTAAATATTTTCGGGGGCTTATTTTAGCGCTCAAAAAGCCCGATTGGGCTTATTATCCGGGGAGGTCTTATTTATCCGGGGAAACAGGATAGCACTGATGACGTTCCCTAGTTGGGTCATGAAACCCCCAAGCTCAGAGCGCCCCAACGACACCACCGTTCAACCCTGAGCTACAAGTTATTTCCCTCCATCGACACAGATTTCGATGGCGGCCTCTTCCCACCCACCCCTCCAAAAAAACAAAGCCCGAGCAAATAAAACTGGGTGAAGACACCAAAAGTTAGCATTTTTTTTTTATTACTGAATTCAGGTTCTTGGTGGTGCTGCTTCCATAAAGTTTTGTTAATTCCACCCCCAACGTAGAGATGGGTGCAACTGTTTTTCCACAATATTTTATTTGTACACAGTACTACAGACAAGCACAGAGCTACTATGGCAGTAGTAAGGGGAGGGAGAGGAAGAGGTCATCACAGAGAGGAAAAGGGGTGGGGGGACCGCAGTTGCCATTCCACACTTTCTCGAAAAAAACGAACACGCCTACAAAGACCCATCATTATTATTATTTTTTAAAAAAACACCTTTTGTTTTTGTACACTTGGAAAAAAACGGACCGATTCTGGAAATTAGGGTCCTTGTTGATCCCAACCATTGGCTGCTTACCTCCATACGCCCCAGACCCTTTAGAGGAAGAGGTGGAGAACTGGAGGAAGCAGGTGGACCAAAGAAAACCAAGGAAGAGGATGAGGCATGGAGACCCACACCCCATCTTTAGGAATGTCGCCTCAAGGGTTTGAAAAGGGGGAGGAGGAGAGAGAAAGAGAGGGAAGGAAGGAAGGGGGGGGGGGAGAAATAAGCTGTAGCACGTTTGGCAAATTTGAACAGCAGCCTACAAGCCGGCTGCTGAGACAGGGAGAGAGAGAAAGCACCAGGCTAGGGAAGATGGGAAGGCGGGGAAAAAATAATAATAATTGGAATGGAACTGAGAAAAGGAAGGAAACCCCCCCCCCAACCCCCAACAGTAGCATGGGGCCATTAACATGGAAGCTCCAGAGTCACTGGCACGACAGGGGACCCAGGAAGGGGAGGAGGGGGGGTCTCACACGGGCTTGCCCTCCAAGCTGATGACGCAGCTGCCTCCCAGCTTTTCCGCTAGACTCTGGCGGTCTTTAATGTCTTCTAGGCCGTTTGCTTGCCATTCGTGCTTGATCCCTGCGAGGGAGAGAGAGGAAGGTGAGATTTGAGGGGGTTGTCCCCACTCCGGCCCCTAAGGCTGGGTCTTAAGATTAGTTGGAATACAGCTGGAAGGGAGTTTGATCCTAGGTAGAGGCAGGTCTTTCTGTCTGGGCACGATGAGGATAGATCCGCAGAACAAAACTCCTCATCGGCGACAGGAAGGGCATCGGGCCATTCAAACACTCTGCTAGCTCCATTCAGCTGCCCAGACTCCACCCCCGATGCAAGGAATTATGATGATGATACAGCTGGAAGGGACCTCGGAGGTCTTCTAGTCCCACCCCCCTACTGAAGGCAGGATACCAGGGACGGGCAATTTATTTTCCCAAGGGGACGCGTGAGAAACTGGGACTGTGGCAGAGCGCCACACCAATAGGGCTGAGATGGTATGTAGGCATACATGTATGCACACATACTAAATTATTTTTTAAAAAATACCAGTGTCTTTCATAAAAGCAATCCATGCAGACCAGATATATTAAATTATTAAAAAAAAAAACAATTAGCAGTGCCCTTCATAATAAAAGTCATCCATGCAGACCAGATAGGGAGAGCTGTAGGGCTGCATGTAGCCTGGGGCCATAAAAATACTTTTTTTAAATTTATTTATTTTTTAACTAAAAGTACTTTTAGTAAAAACTAAAAGTATAGGTAGTCAAACCTATGACAGTTCACTGACGTTCAGTTAGAACAGCAGTTTAAAAAAAAAGTGAGCAATGACCATATTTTTTTTAAATACTTCCCTGTGATCAAAATTGAGGCGCTTGGCACCCGACTCGTATTTATGACGGTGGCCACTTGACCCCCTTTCGTGAACCTCTGACAAACAAGAGTCAATGGGGAAGCGATTCATTTAACAACCGAGTTGCTAACTGAACAATGGCAGTGATTCAGTTAACAGCTGGGGCAAGAGAGGTCGGAAAGAGAGAGCCAAAGTCAGTTCACCAATGTTACTTTGCTAACAGTTGGGCCCAATTGTGGTCTAACTTGAGGAGTACCTGTGAACCATGCAAGTCAGCCAGTGACGGACGGAGACAAGCCAAAGGGCTGGATTTGACCAGGGAGGCGTAAAATACCCAGGTCTGCCTTATAATACCGTTATGTCCAATCCCTCACTGGCTGCTGACTGCTTCCTTCTGCCCCCCCCCCCCCATTGCAGAGAACGGAATCCTGGCTGCAGAAAATATTTAAATGCTGGAAAAACAAAACATTTTGATGTGCCCCCTTTTCCTACCACGTCACCTCCCCCCCCCCGATATTTGCACTGGGAGATTGAACTGCTGGGGGAAAAGGGGAGACTGATGTACCCCAGAATCCCCCCCAACCAGAACTGGAGGAGCCAATCATAACTCATCTCCAACTTTTATAATTCTCAGCATCTCCTTGATGCTGGAAAAAGGGGAAGCCCGTTTCAGACAGGTAGAAAAGGGGGAGTGGGGGTGTTGAAAAGACCCAAATTTGCTGTACAGCTAGTCCCCGACTTACAACTGGGACCAGGAATTTCCATAACTAAGCAAGGCCGCTGATAAACAAGCTGCGCCCGATTCTATGATTCTTGCCGCAGTGGTTAACCCCCCCATGGCTGCAAAGTGAATTGCGCAGTCGCTAAGCAAATCTGGCTTCAACCCACTTTGTCGGAATCCGCGGACAGCGATCCCTGCAGTTTGGGCCCACGTAACACTTGTAAATCAATTATAAACGCAGTGTGTGCCAAGCACCCGAATTGCGCAATCGCATGATGGGATGAGAGGACTGGCACTTAAGTGACTTCGGTGTTATTTCTGGACAGTCGCTAAGTGAATGGTTATAAGTCGAGGACTACTTGCAGTAGCAGTTCAACATAGGGTAGGGAGGAAAGTAAGACAGCTGAGGTGCTAGAAGACCCTTGAAGTTTTGGGAAGACGGCCGATTCAGAATTAGGTCTTTTTTCAGTTCTATCCAGAACCCTTTCTAAAATTAGGGGGTTTAAAAGTCCAGAGGGATCAGCCCAATTTGGGATATTACAGGTATTCCTCGACTTAGGACCGCAATGGAGACCCCAAATTTATAACATTTATTGAGCAAGCTCTGCCCCATTTTACGACTTTTCTTGCCGCCGTTAAGGGAAACGTTGCATTTGTTAATAACACCAGTTGTTAAGTGAACTTTGGCTTCCCCTTTGACTCGGCTTGTCCGAGGATCGCAAAAGGGGATCGCGGGACAAAATAGGAGTTCTTTTGCCAAGGGTCCAAATTTTTGATCAGGTGACCAAGGGGAGGAAATGCAAATGTGTGAAAAAAAGGTCCCAAGGCACTTTTTTTCCAGTGCCGTCGCAACTTCAAACGGTCACTAAATGAACTGTTGTAACTTGAAGGCGACCTGTATTTCATTCAACTCGCTTCCTATTTCTAACGGCAGACGTTGAGCCTCCCTCCAGCTAATAGGGAGCACAGAGAACTTTTCTCACACTGGGCATTCGTCAAGTAAGATGCCAACATGACCAGGGAGGGATCGATTTGAGGGCAAGTCATGACTACGGGCATTCAGCTGGGTCATCCTGGGCCCCCAGCCAGAAGCCTGGTGGTACAAGCCCTGCCTCTACCTGTGCTGACACCTGCCAGCTCTCACCTGGGAATTTCTTCTTGAGGGCATCCTTGGAGCTGGCGTAAATCATCTTGCTCTTCAAAGGAGCGCTCTCGGGCGCCCTGCAGGGAGAGAGAGAGAAAGAGAGCAGGTTTCACACACCAGGTATGTTACTGGCCTCCTCCCCACCACCATTACACTGCCAGTTTGCCATTTATTTAGTGTTTTATGCTACCCGCATCTCCCTACGCGAGAATCGTGCCTGTAGTGATGCCACGGAAAAAGCAGGGTTTTCAAAAAGAAGCAGAGGTCATTCATTAATAAATCCCCCAAACAGCAATAGCAATTAAGACTTATATGCCACTTCACAGTGCTTTACAGCCCTAAGTGGTTTACAGAGTCAGCCTCTTGCCCTCAACAATCCGGGCCCTCATTTTACCGACCTCGGAAGGACAGAAGGTTGAGTCAATCTTGAGCTGGTCAGATTCAAACTCCTGGCAATGGGCAGAATTTGGTTGCAATATTATTGCATTCTAACCACTGGGAAGGAAGGAAGGGAGGGCAATAGCACATAGACTTATATACCACTTCACAGTGTTTTACAGCCCTCTCTAAACAGTTAAGTGTCAGCATCTTGCCCCCAGCAATCTGGGTCCTCATTTTACCCACCTCAGAAGGATGGAAGGCTGAATCAACCACAATTTGGTCAGGATCAAACTGCTGGCAGTCAGCAGAATTAGCCTGCCATGCTACACTCTAAGAACTACGCCACCATGGCTCAAACGGGGATAATTCTCAGGAGAAGGAACCCTTCACTATATCCTATATCACCCACTAACCCAGCATGGGCCTTGCTGCTTGGGAGATGGAACACGGGGAGTTGAGAAGCTTCCCCACCAGGCCTCATACCTGCTGTCAAGGTGACGGGAGGCGCACCTTTAAAATTAAATTGCTTATAGGAAGGCTGGAGGACAGCAGGATGTGGTTGAGGACCTTCCCCTGCTTTTCAGGAAGGGCCCAACTGCAATGGACAAGCTACAAGCCAAGCCAGCCCCAGACACCCCCTGTCTCCTGGTCCTCAATTATACAGATCATCCCAAGTTAATTATTGTTTTCTCGCCCCAGCTTAACACACTGGGAATGAAGCAGCCGTCTAGAAGTCTATTCCCCAGTTAGAGGTTGGGAGGGAGAGATCAGGCAGACTAAGGGGCTTCCTTCCTACAGTGATTGTTAAAGGGGGGGGAGCTCAATCTCTCTCTCTCACACACACACACATTGTACCAATCTGGGAGGGGCCAGTCGTGGCCGTATCCCAACTCACTTGCTGATGGGAGGAAAATCACCTCCTTAATGGCACACAGCCAAGCAGCTTTGGTTACGGAAGGATGAAGCCAACAATTCAGACAAGAGGCTGGTAAAAAGGCGCCAGTCCTCACCCGGGCACACACCTCCAGCAAGGGGGCAGCCTAGGCAACTCATGCCTCTGAAAGCAGGCTTGGTTTAATGATCATCAGAAAAACTCCCGGAATAGTGGCAGAAAGAAGCTTGTTCTGATCAAGAGTAATTCAGCCTTTAGTCACTGAGAAAGGGGTCTTTAAAGGTGGAGGGGGGGGAGACATGGCAAGGAAGGAAGGACAAAGAGCAAGGGAGTAAAGAGGAAAGGGAAGAGAAAGGGAGAAAGGAAGGGAGTAGAGGAAGGAAGCATAAAGAGCAAGGAAGGGGGGAGGAAGTAAAGGAGATGGAGGGAGGGAGGAAAAAGAGAGCAAGGAAAGAAAGAGAAAGAGGGAGGGAGGAGAAAGAGCAAGCAAGGAAGAAACAGGAAGGAAGGAGAAAGATATAGAGGAAGGAAGAGAGCAAGGAAGGAGGAGGGAAGGGGGCCTCACCAGAAGAGGAAGACAAGGTCTTCCTTTTTGCTCTCCTTGGTTTCGTAGGTGGCGTCATAGAGGGCGTAGCGGCAGTCGCTGGGGGGCAGCATGGCGACGAAGTGCAGGTAGGGGTCATCGACGGTGTCTCCCAGGTCGCCCACCAGGATCTCCTTGCCGACCTCCAGGATGATCTTCTTCTTGTCCTCGCTCAGGCAGAAGATGACGGCCTTCTTGCGCTTCTTCTGCTCTTCCTGGGGGGCATGTTTGCGCACCTTCATGTCGTTGAACACTTGGATGACTTTGTCACAGACGGTGACCCCAGAGGCCTGAAAGGGGGGGGAACAAGGGGAGAAACGCTCAGCAACGGCCCCCCAACACGATTGCCACAACCACAGGAAGTCCTCAATTTTCAAAAATAGAGCCCAAAATTTATGCTGCTAAGTGGAGGCATTTATTAAGTGACCTCTGCCCCATTTACAACGCCTGTTAAGTGAATCACTGCAAGTGTTAAATTAGTCAACCAACTCGGCTTTCCCTGTTGACTTTGTTCGTCAGAAGGTCGCAAAAGGGGGTCACTGCAACAATCACAAATGCAAGTCAGGAGTCAAGCATCCCAATGTAAATCACATGACAGTGGGGATGCTGCAACTGTCATTAGTGTGAACAAAAAGTCCAAAGTCACTTTTTCCACTGTCGTTTCTAACCACAGTCACTAAACCAATTGTTGTAAGTCGAGGACAACCTGTACTGAATGCCCTAGTGCTGCTTCTCAACCTGGGCAATGGGTGGACTTCGACTCCCAGAATTCCCCAGGTTAGCCCTTCTTCCACCATCCCCCATGACTTATGACTAGTACAACCAAGGTGCCATCCCACAAACCATGTGATCAAAACTCAGGCCCTTGGCAACTGACTTGTACTTATGACGGTTGTGGCATTGGGGGGGGGGGTAGGTGGGTGGTGTCGCCTGATCGCCATTTGCAACCTTCCCGGCTGATTTCTGAGAAGCAATGGGGGAAGCCACATTCCCTTAAACACCTGTGGTGATTCACTTAATAACCACAGCAGAGAAAGGTTATAAAATCAGATGTGACCCACTTAATAAACCATCTTTGTTTAACAATGGAAATTCTAGCCTTAACTGTGATCCCAAGTCGGTGACCCTTGTACAAGATTATGACAGGTAAGAAAGGAGTGGGAGATTCCAGGCACATGCTAAGTTTTATTAGTCATCGTTTGTTAAATCAGGTTTGCTAATCACCAGATTCACATAATATGCTAAACTAGAAAGCACAGCTAAACAAATGAGTTGCCAGGATGCTCTACCCTATTTTTGCATGATATCCCAATTTTTTTTTTTTTGGGGGGGGGGGGGGAGGCTGCCACAAAGAAGAGAGGGCCCACCTATTCTCCAAAGCAGGCAGGACAAGAAGCAATGGATGGAAACTAATCAAGGCAGAGAAGCAACTCAAGACTAAG